CTATGTTTCGTGGGTTATCATCATCTAGTTGAAAGAAATAAATTGAGTTCACTTCTAGTCGTCATATATCGATTATTTGTATTTTCACTGAAAATTTAGAGTTTCTATTTTCTATTTCCGTAAAAAACAGCTGTCAATAGGGTTTTATATGAAAATGGAAGTGATTACCAATGCATCGGAAAGTGTCCGATGCATGGTTAATTTGTGTCCGATGTACGGTGAAATAAATATACTAGTAAAAAAACAACTCTAAAAAAATATTATACAAACATTAAAGTAAAATTTTTGAAAAAATTCTGTAAAACTATCAATTATTGATAAATTTTATAAAGGTCCGACCCGTTCCGTTGACGTCTATTTAAAAGAACAACTCTAAAAATTGCAAAATCGTAAAACTCTGGTTACGCCCCTTTGATGATGCAAAATATGACGTAATTTCAAGGCCATTCTTGTGGTATTTTTATCACAACATGAAAATCAAAATCGGCATCATTAAAAAGTGTAAATCTTCACCTTTAAAACAGAAACAAGTAAAAACACGGGGAGACTCGGGTTCAATGAAAGTTTATAGCTTAATATTGTTCGAAGCAAGGTATGTGTCTGATGCATGTTAACTCACCCTAAATGACTTTGGACTATTTTTTTGGTGCTAGATCCATTATGATGTCATAATCATTTTCAACTTTCTTTTTCCCGTACTTTACGACTCTAATATGATTATGTAGAAAATAAAATACTTTCATGGCATTCAATTTGAAATCGTGTGAAATGTAATCCAGATACCTATATTCAATTTAATATTATTTTAAAGGAGAGGCCAAGGATATACAAATTATCGTTTTCTGAGATATTGAAGGCAATCTGGGTACATTTCCTTTGTCTGATATGGAATAAAACTCCCGTATTCATGACAGATTTTCTTAATTTTCATTGAAAATGACAGTTTAAAATATGATTTTTCGTCTTATTTACAAATTATGCCCCGAAACAACTTCTTTGACAAAGCTAAAATTATAAAGCATCGGAAATGGTACATCACAGATTTGGCTGATTTTTTGAAACACCATATATAAAGCATATTTGGGGTCAATTATACAATTTGTGTCCCGGTTGCCATGGTAACCAAAACCATTAATTTAAGGCCAAAAAATATGGAGCAGCCTACTGAAATTATAACAACTTCATCTTATATTTCTATTTTCTACAAAATTCTTACAGGATGAATTGTTGCCTACTCTGATGCTTCGATTCAGTATTACATGTAGATCATGAAAGAGTCGTCTTTCAGTGAAAAAAGTGTCAAATTTTTTAAATTTAACAAATTTGAAAAAATGCCAATTTTTGGCATTTTACAAACATAGTAGCAAGAAAACGCCGGCAATCCATAACGAACAACTACCATCATTGAAAAGTTCACGTGTAACTAGTTCAGGAATGATCCCTATAATTGTTGATGTATCTTCATACAAAACCTATAGCCTCAGTGTTTGATTGCACTTCTAATTAATATACTTACTCGGACATATACAAAGGAATACTTAAACTGATCACATTTCTGAATTACTGCAGCATATGATCTTAAATGAATTCAATTTTTGAAGAATCATGAGGACATGAACTACAACGCTTCACACCGGCATATTTATCATGAAGCGCTTCATGATAAATATGCCGGGGTGAAGCGTTGTAGTTCATGTACCTCATGAATCTTCAAAAATTAAATTCATTTCTTATTTTTACATTATTTTTCTGATGATTTACCACAAATAACACCATGTCATTTTAAAGCAAACAGTTTGCACTATAGTTTTGACGTCAAGTGAGGCATTATGACGTAACAATGGAGATATTCATGCCCATTCAAGGTAGTTTATGAGAAAATGATCTGTGCTCTATTTTGTAAAGAATCATAGGGGAAATTTATTGGGAATGTGAATATTAGAGAATGAAGCACCAAAAAGGAGTTGGAGAGCTTTTAAGGTGCATTTGTAACGGTCTCCATTACAATTAGAACTTGTTATGTTTGGGATACTGTAATGTTTCTTTCCTATAGATAGTCACGCTCTGTTATTAATTAACTTATTACAAAACTTGTGAGTTTAAGTAAATATTTAGAAAAGTAAAGATTTTCACTGGACGATGGTACTTGCCTAGTATCTTTCTACATCACAACCTTATTATCCCATTCGACTAGCATTTTGCAACTTTCTAACATAGAAAATTCAAATAACAAATTACACTTGTAATTTTAGTAAAAAAAAAAATCAATAATAGTCACCTATTAATAAATTAATGGGATGAAATGACATTTATAGGTATTTATAGGTATTTTCCCACCAATGTGCGAAAATAGGTAACCTGTTGCCATGGAAACAAGACATTGCTCATTTCCAATAATATTTTTATAAAATGGGCTTATAATGTAACTATTTCACCAAGTTTCAACGAAATCGGTGAGAGTCAATTTCTAGCCCATTTTGATGCTTACAGAGAATGACTCAACATATTTCAACCCAGTGGGGATATTCTTGTCACCCTGACATCAAGTCTGCTTTAACACACTTTAAAAAATGGAAGAGCAAATTATACATTCATTTTGTTAAACATAAATCATATTTTTTACCTTTTCTTTAATCCCACGCTTTAAAATTTTGAATACACAAAATCTTGTCAACTTTAAAACCACTGGAGAAGCCCTCCACTAGGAAGGGCATGGTTTCTTGGGTCATATCCTTGTAAATAATTTGCTAATATATTCGCATTCATTGGTGTAGCAATCAATCTTTTTTTTTGGTAAGCAGCCTGTTTTCTAGGGAGTTCGACATGGGTTGATTTGAAGTGGCTGGTACTTGACAAGGTATGGCGACCTTTCGTGCACTGCATTTTAAAGTGTCGTCCTGCGCAGTTTTGGCAGATATGTGCAGTTTGGTTTGGTGCAGAAACCTTTGTTATTGTATAAGAAGCAGTATTTATGTTTCCATGGGCTTGCACGAAAGGGCTGTTTCCTAAATTTGGCCTACCCCAGCCATAATTGCTTCTTGAAAAAGCTCCGCATTTTTTTTGATTCCATGGACACGTTTTTTCATCATACTCAATCGCGGCATCCTCCCCACATGCCTTGGCAACCGCGTATAATCTGGGCGTATGTAATAAGGTGACTAACCTTCTCTGGATATTTTTGACAGTAAATTGCGACATGAAATTGACACATGAAATGCGTCTGTCCACTGCGCAAGGGTTTTGATCTTAGTAGTGTCAGTTGTTTTAACAAAAATTAAGTTGCCATCTTGTTCCAACATCTTAAATTTGGATTCTTGGTCAAAATCGGTTTAGGGAATCAGTACCTTAACTTGAAATATTCGTTAGCAAAGGTTTTTGCTTTTATTTTGGTGTCAACCCCTAGACCCACTGGTTTATCAATTCCTTGGGTGTGTTGGGATTTTGAGCATGTGTGTGTGTGCGGGGGGGGGGGGAGGGGTCAGCTATGTTCTACCTGCAGAAGTGATCTCTGAGAAGGTTTATGATCCTGTTGTCAAAGACCGTGCTTCTTGGTTCAAAGTTGAACTGTTAGTTGTTGACTTTGGTGTCAAGGACACTGAGGTTTTGATGACTGTAGAGTCCGTAGTATTAGATGATGTGGTAGTGGCAATTTGCCACAAGTTTTCAAGGCATTTTAAAACTGTTTCCTGAACTAGGGGTATTGTGGCGGCAATCACTTCTCCACCAGTTCGCACATCTCATCAGGCTGCCTGTTGCTGTAGTGTAGCATTGCTGTTCTTACGTGTGTGGCGTCGTTTTGGGTTGGATGCCATCCTGTAAAATTGAATTAATGCAATGATATTTGCAAACAACTCTGTATAGTTTGGCTTCACTACCCCTGTAGTGATAGCTATATACAGTTGAAATTAAAAATAACCAGAGCTAACTGGTAGACGTCCACTTAGCTTAAATTGATAACGTTATTAACATTTTGTTGCTGGATCTACTGCGTTTATGTCTGTAGCCAGAGCAACTAATGCATACTGTAGCCAGAACTACTATTACATTCTGTAGTCAGAGCTATGTTATTTCATACTGTAGCAATAGGTACTATTTTGTACTGTAGCCAGAGCTACTATTTTATACTGTAGCCAGAGCTACTATTTCATACTGTAGCCAGAGCTAATATTTCATACTGTAGCCAGAGCTATACTATTTCATACTGTAGCCAGAACCACTAACATTCTGTAGTCAGAGCAATAACTTAATTCTGTAGCCAGAGCAAGTATTTCATTATAAGCTATATTCTGTAGCCAGAGCTACTTATTAGTTTCTTTAAAACTTACATAATAAATTGAGTTGCCGGAGCTACTTAAAAATTTTCTAGGCATGCCTACTAGCTTATGATGCTTAAACCCTGCTGATACTTAGGCTTGTCCCTAAGAAGCGCGATATCATTCAGTAGTGCCTTGTGTGTCACAGAGTATTAAGCCTACCTTACCTGTAATAATTGAACTGTCCAGAAAACTAACTATGTAGATGTGTCCAATAAACACGCAGGGAGCTAGATAATGAAAGTATGAATGTCAACGAGATAATGATATTAATAATCATAGTACTGTTAAGCATGACATATATAACCCAACATTTGTAAGTCTATAGCATTAAACATATAAATATAAATCTATATAACTATATGTTTGTTTACAAAGAATATGTATCTCAGAATAAGTAATAACACTATATTTGTCCCATTCGTTTCCTGAAAAGAAATCCAGTTAGCCAGATGCACCTGACATCATGGCTCAAATACACTTGTGATTTTGTAACAGGATTCCCCTTAATTGGCGATAATATTTAATACGCATTCCCCAGGAATTTAAGTGTACGCCGTCTAAGAAAATGTCATTACAATTAGTAAATCCCTTGAGTCGCCAGTAACTGAAATTCACACTCTGACACAGTTCTTTCAAAAGAGCATTCGCTCTAATAAGCCTTCCGTTGTATACAGATGCACAGATATGGCGGGTTCTCTGTCTGGGCGAAAGTCTTATAATGGTAATCGTTGATTTAACACTATTTTGTCTTTTAACTGTGTAAGAACGGATATTAAGACGTGAACAGTTCTTTCCACAAGGTCAACTACATTGTCTAGGTCATTACCCCCCAATTGAACAATGACTTGGCCTATGATGCTGAACTGCGTAATTGAATTCCTGTAGATGACTGTGATTTCCTACTTTGGCTCCACCGATACCGAAAAAAGTAACAAGGGGTAGGTGTTCAATGTTGAAAATGTCATGAGATAGTCTGTGAGAACCGATAAATTGGTTGAAACGTCTTACATGTGAGCTGCCAATGCAGAGAGTATAGTCATATTCCGTAGCTGGTAAAGCGGGGTCACGTGATCAAATCGTTCATGTTACACAACACATTAAATTTAGAAAACCGATGTAAAAAGAGTCTGTTCCAGAGAAATAAATCACTTTTAAATGTAAAACGAATTACTGTTACACGTCCTGTTATGCAACACTCTGAGGTTTCAAGTGTATTTACACGCACTACACAGCTCTGTTTTGATGCAGATGAGGGCACAAAGATACACAGAAATTTTTCAGCGAAAAGTTGCTTTTAGCAATACCTAGAAATACTGGTTTTGATCACTGAAATTGCGTCTCACGTCCGGTGCATGAAAATCCAAAGAATACCTGGATCGCAGTCGCATAAAAACACACAAATAAGACTTCCCTAGACCTTACAATGGAAAAAATGCCGACTGACGCTATGTGCAGCCAACACAGCTAGTGTTCTACATTTAGAGATCAGCGCAAAAAATTCAAAATGAGTAACATATCAATATCCATAAATATGTTATTGTCATAAATATGTTTTTTTATTCTTTTTAAGAGGATTTATCAAGAAGTAAAACAACAAGTCAGAGCAAAACATGGGAATGCGTTATCCCAGCATGTATGAATTATTACATCTCAAGTAATGCAGTGGATAGAAATGAAAAAACCTGTGCAAGAAGCACGTTCATAGGTGAGGGCGCAACAGAGAAGACAGTATGGTGGAAAGTGGATATGGGTGATATTTACAGTATTTACAGCATCGATGTGCTGTTTGAAAACATGGAAGACGGTAAGATTAATTGTCTATATAATATAAATGACAATATCTCAAAAGAAATTTCATTCCTCAATTATATGTTTATTTCCCCTCAATGATATTTTTCCAAAAAAAGAAAATTGTTCACAAAGTATACTTTTCGTTAGAACTGCATAACATTTTTTTTAAATTCTACACTATATAACTGAGTGTTACAAAAATTGTCCACAAAGGTAGAGGATTCCTATGACACGTCATTTGATATATATACATGTAATTTTACTTGCCAAAGACCCTTAGGTGTACACTAATAAGTTCCTCGCAAGTTTATCATAATTGTTGCTGTTTTTTTCATAATGAAGTCCTTTCTCATTTAAAAAAAACGCTTTGAAATCTATATCATAGTTTAAATGCTAATAACATCTAATTGAAATGGCATACGACAATCAATTTTTCAATTTCTAACAACCGCAGCCTAATTACGCCAATTCAATTTGTACATGAAATTTTTACAGTGAAACCACTCGAATATACTATGCTTCTTCGAAATTCCAGAAAATGAAATGAATTCCTATTTTTAACTGCATCTAACCTTTTCTTTGCTTATCAAATTCGACATAACAAAGTAAAAACTAGGTATTTGTTTTCCGGGGGGGGGGGGGGGCAGATAAAAAATCTGACAACTTAATTGAAAGATCTTTGACGTGTAAAAAAAAAAGAGGAAAGGAAGTCTTTGTCTTTGACAAAGTAAAAGTTGGATGATGCGTGTATGACATGTATACGTGGATAAATGTAATAAAAGTACGAGGGTTGTTAGAAAAGTTCGCGGACACATTAATTTACGGAAAATGTAATGTGTATTTTGAAGAATCACGTATGTCTGATTAAATTTTTATCTTTTGTTCATTAGTATTTAAAAAATCAAGTCCATTCTTTTAAATTTTGAAAATATACGAGGATTTTTACTGTGCGGTTATAGGATTCATGGAGCAATTGCTTAACGTTAAGTGACAACATGTTTCCAAACTTGTTAAGCCCCTCTTTACAGTTCTAAACATCTTTTCTGTAGACTTTTCATATATTTTCCATACTATAAAGCTAAATAATTGTATAAAGACATGTTGCCTTTTTCAAAAGATGTCTTATTGTTTCATATTGGATATAATTGAGATCTTAAAATCAATGCCTACATAGTATTTGGAAACAATGCAAAATCCGTAGGCACAACGTCCATGCGATAAGCTGGATATTGGGGCATCACAAGAGTTGATCATCAAAAATGTCAATCCTTCCATTCTTATTAAGCTTCTACTATTTGAACACTTTGGTCCTAAATACGTGTAAGCAATTCCCAGCAGCATTTAGAACAATTTAGTATCTTTCGGGTATTTTCCAGTCTATACATTTATTTTTTTTAATAGCGCGGTGCTCCAAGACGTTCAATGACGTTGTCAGTCTTGACTTTTTTTTATGCATTGATCATCTATAATTAGCGATAAAACCGTCATGACACCTCCAATTAAATTCAAAATGACGTTTCATGATTATTGTAGCGGTAGGTAAAAAATAATAAATCTTTGTGCGCTACAATAATTTTTAATTTCCAAAAAAATGTCTATGTAATGTAAATGTGCGAAAAAGTGACAAGCTTCGTAAAACATATTTTATCTAAGTAAAATAGCTGTAAATTTTTGAAGGATCATCGGAAAACACCAAATATTTGCATATTTTGGAAAATGTGTATAGTATTTGTCTGCAGAGTTTTACTGTTTTCATGCAAATAGCGCACTCACAATAGAACTTGTCCGCGAACTTTTCTAACAAACCTCGTATTTAGCTTTTTTTTTTTCTTAGTCGATTCCGATAAAGTTATCTGCTGCGTAATATGTAACGGTGTGATAAATGTAAAAATTAGGTTTCGATGCATCCGGAAACATTAATTTGGACGTTGTTTACGCTCAATTTTTCATCGGTTAAAAACAAGAGAAGTCGTCATAATTTACTAGGGTTTTATGCACTTTATACATTTAACAGGTCTACAATTTTACAATTATTGCAAAGCTTCCGATGTCACAGGCGGACAGTCACAGAGAGAGAGAACGAGAGATAATTATATATCTAGTTATTATTTGCGCTTTTGGATAAGAAACACATAGCATTGCATTTCACAGGGAAAGGATAATTGACAGCAAAAGATAATTGACAAAAAAGAATCCCATTTTTTATACTTCAGGGAATTTTTGGAATACATACAGGGAAGGTTTAGTGTACTCAAACCAAAATTGGGGTGTCAATGAAGGAATCCATACGAAATAAACAGAAAATGATTATTTTCAGAAATAAAGGAGGGGCAGCCCCCTCCCTTTCCTATATTACATGCCTGGCTGAGAAAGTAAGAAACTATTCATTTTCACTTAAAGTCTAATAAATAGTTCTTGGATTTTTTTTCAAAATAAAATTATAAAGATACTTTAATACACAGTAGTAAGTGAGACATACAAAACAAGATGTGTCTGTGAAACACTGATGCCCCCGTATGGCAGCTTATGGCGAAGGTTAAAGTTTCTTAAATGTAAGTCAAACTCCATGTCAAGAAATCAAAATTGTTGGTACCCAAAGAAAGGTCTTGCCTCGAGAAATATACTTGTGAAATATGAAAGCCCTTGTACAAACAGTTGAAAAGTTCTGGCGATCGAGGTTAAAGTTTTTTTCAAAGTAAGAAAAACGGCACGGTCAAATGGTGCCCAAGGGAAGTTCTTGTCACAAGTGATACACATGATCGTGAAATGTGAAAGCCTTAGAACCAAACGTTCAAATGTTATGGCCAATGTTAAAAATTTTTAAAAGTAGGTCAAACTCCAAGGTCAAGGTCAAAACTGTTGGAATCCAAATAAAGGTCTTGTCACAAGTAATATACTTGTGAAGTATGAAATCCCTAACACCGACTGTTCAAAAATTATGGCCAAGGTTAAAGTTTTTCAAAAGTAGGTCAAACTTCAAAGTCAAAGGGTCAGAGTTGTTGGTATCTTATGGAAGGTCTTGTCTCAAGGAATATACATGTGAAGTATGAAAGCTCTAACATCAACTGTTCAAAAGTTATGGCCAAGGTTAAAGTTTTTCAAAAGTAGGTCAAACTCAAAGGTCAAGGTCAGACGGTGAAAGTTGTTGGTATCTAAAGGAAAGTCCTATCAGAAGGAATGCATATGTACATTTCCTGAAACGTTCTACTTTCCCATTTTTCTGTTCGTTCACCGTGCATTCACCGTTCGTTCACCGTTCGCTCTTCGTTCACACTTTTGCGTTCAGCGTCCACCATGCGCTCGCTTTTACCGTTCACAAAGCGTTCAGCGTTCGCTCTCCGTTCACCTTGCGTTCAGCGTTCACTTATCGTTCAGTCTTCAGTGTCATTCGGAACTCCTAAGTGAAAGGTCTTAACTTTTTGTTAGTAAAGATTTACAGCTTTTTTAATTTAATAATTAACATATCGTGTTTAAAGAATCATTATTTCATGGGGAAAAAATTATCCACAATATTCTAACTTATTATTTTTTTTTATTATTCTTACTTAGCTGTAAGGTAATTTACTCTGGAAAATAAAAATTGTAATAAGTATGTACCTATGTAGAACGATGCTGAAAAATTAAATTTAAATATGGCAATATTTAGATACTTCAAGCACTGCAACATTTTGTTGTTATGTTAAAGACGACAAATCGTTAATGGGTAGATAATTATCCAAGTCAGTTATTTACAAACTGCAGCAAAATTACGAAAATATTTATTTTTGACCCTTTTTTTTTAATTACTACAGAAATACATGATAGAACTAGTTCTGAGAATTATACATAGTACTGCGGATATACTGTTATTGAAATATCTTTGAAACGAATTTAATTGATAGTGTGGTTAAAAAAATATTTATTGAAAATGTAATACACTACATGATTTTCTCTACTATAATATATAAAGTCTATAGTTATAGAAAAAAATAAATTCTTCCATCACCGTAACTTTTTTTTAATTGACTTTAGACATAAACAAACATGCATACACATACACAAACACAGACACGCCACGGCTGAAAAGCTTACATACAGATTTTTAGGAATAAACATGAAATATAAAAAAAAATATGAATACACAAGATATACTAAAATAATAATGCAGATGACATAAATTTATCTATATGTTTATGTTTTCAAATATCTGGTTCCAGTTAATCCATCTTCTTTTATACACATGAAGTTCATTGTTACATTTCTACAATTTTTCTTCAAATTTATAATACACATATAAGTATTTAATGCTAATTTGTATAGTTATATTTTGGTTTTTTCTTGATTGTTGAAAAATGTACTGTTTAATAAGTAGCAATATAAGATTAATAATTGTGTCTTCTTTAGAAGAACCAAGTATAACTGTGCATGCATCAGATTTTATTATTTTTCCAGTTTTTTCAAATATCCAATCTTCTAAAAGAGACCACAATGGGTTAACTTTAGGACAATAAAAGAAAATATGTACAATTGATTCAACATTTTGCTGACATAAAGAACATAGATTATTTTCTCTCATTTTTGACAAAAACAAATACATACTTGTACCAAGAATCCTATGTATGATACTAAAATTAAACCATAGAAGCCTTGTGTCTTTTGTTATTGAATAATATTTTTTATGAATTAATTTCCAATTAAATTCCTGTTGTAACTGCAGTTCTTTAGCCCATTTTGATTCACACTTTGGTGAAGTATATACATGTAATGACAGATATGTATCATAAATTGTTTTAGAAACCTTTTTTATCTTTATTGATGATTTCCACAAATTTTGGCTGATAAGGTCTTGTGACAGAATTTATACCAACATTTCTAACATTTGGCCAAGAATGCAAAATTGCCCTTTTATGCCTTCGTATATAGTAAAAGGGACTTTTAAAGAAAATTCTTTAACAAGATCATCAAAGCATATAAAGTTACCATTACTGTCAAATAAATCACCAACTACAATAAATCCCTTTTCATACCATGGCC